TTGTATCACTAAAGCGATTTTCGTAAAAGACTCTTGATCGCTTAAGCGATTTGAGATCGCTTAAGCGATCTTGGCCAAGCACAATGAATCTGCCCAATATCTATGATCGCTTAAGCTATCTGATTGTATCGTTTAAGTGATTTTTTAAAAGATTCTTGGTCGTTAGTGATTTGATTAAGCATCTTGGCTAAGGCAGAATGATATCTGCCCAGATCTATGATCGCTTAGTGATCTTATGTATCGCTTAAGCGATGCTTCCTAAACGAGTCCTTTTGCTTAAGCTCCTGAATTGCTTAAGCGATCTTTTCAAGGCAGAATGAACATCTGCCCAGATGTAATCCTAAGCGATCTTGCCCGAGGCAGAATGAATATCTGCCCAGATCTTGATCGCTTAAGTGATCTTATGTATCACTTAAGCAATGCTCCTAACGAGTCTCTGTCGTTTAACGCTTTAGCGCTTAAGCGATCTTTGTCAAGGCAGAATGAACATCTGCCCAGATGGGTAATCGCTTAGACGATCTGTTGTATCGCTTAAACGATGCTTCGAATAGACTCTTGGTCGCTTAAGGCTTTTCATATCGCTTAAGCGATCATATCTGGAAAAGTCTTGGTCATTTGGGAAACTTGTACATCACTCATTTCCCTCCCAAATCCAAAAGAATTTGTATCAATCTAATTCATCACAAATCAAAATATAAGAGACATCAATGTAATCGAAACACAAAATAAAAAATAGGCATGGGATGCGGCAAATATCGAATATATGGACAAGCTAACCATTAGCTCTAACTTGGGTGAATCAAATATACACACCAGTACATCACACGTTGTAGTGATACACAAAATGAAACAACGCTAAAAAACCATTATCCAACTTGGGTGAAGCAAATGATCACACCATGCATAGTAAATTCAAACACTAATGAGATATCTTATGGATAAAAAAAATTATCTCCCAATGTCAGATCCAATTCTTACAAAAATTTCCTAACACTGCCCAAAAGGAGCCACAGCACAAAATTTCCTATACACTGCCTTATTTACTTTTTGATGCCAAAGAGTTTATGTCACTAACACCTTTGCACAATCCCTTATTGCAGATGCCTCCTCCTGCCAACTAGCCTTGAGAAGTTTTTGAATTTTGTTTGCCAGCACCTCTCTGAGATCATTGTTTTGTACCATGCCTTCCCAGCAGCCTTTATTGCAGATGCCTCCTCTCATCTGCCAACCAGCCTGTTTGTAAGGTTTCCTCTCATTTTTACCAGGAACCTGACATGTCAACTTTTGTAAATAAAAAAAAAAAACATGTAAATAAGTTACAGGGTGGGTAGGTGAGAAGTTCACTCAGTCCGTGTCTTTCGGTAAACCTCCATATAAGCATGACACCTGTAGCATCAGCACCACAACCCAAGTATCAACATCAACATCACATAAACTACAAAATTCAAAGTCCAACTTTCATACATTTTTATGGGTCCTGCTCACTCAAAATGGATCCATCTGCCCATGGAAGCAATCGTAGCTCAGCCCTCCTGACATCTCTCCATTATTTCGTCATTCAACCCATCCATCGGGGTGTTGGTCATGTCGAACTCAATAAATTTCAGGGCATATGCCCCACATTCAGCACTACAATAGGAGAAGACATTACATTAGAATAAACTTATAGAACAATTGTATATATAAGTTAGTTTTATACAAAAGTTACCTTGACTCATTTATTGGGTCGGTAGAGCGCTTAATTGGCCACTTTCCGGTTATTACTTGGTCACCCAAGTGCCCAAACATCCCGCTGTCACATAACGCTACGGGAACAACCTGGATAGTGGCTCCAACACGACCTCCACTGCTTGTCTCGACAAATAGTGGGTTGCAGTCAAGGATCTTCAGCAATCCCTCCTCTAGATGTGCAACAACTGCTATTCATGCTCTATTTGACGAGGAGGATGCATTACACTCTTTAACAACGGTCCAACCGTGGCCATATTTGGCCAATCTCCCCGTTATACTGCATATTCTGCCATCAAAATGAAAATCATCAGGGATGCAGTCCAACTGTACTGGGGCCAATCTTTTTCACTTCGTTCCTTTTGCTACACTACTAGCAATGATATTTTTAATTAAAGTCCGATATGCTGAAACAAGTATTTGGCCAAACGCCACATCAATGATAGCACTCGGGATACAACAATCACCATCAGTCGTCTATCGTAGCCTCATCAGTGCCAATATCTCCGATGTGCTGCATCAAACAAAAACAAGATAAGTATGGAAAACATAGGCAAAATAAAGAAAATTAAGCAAAATAACTCACTGAGTCCTCAAGCCACATGCCCATCGTCAACAACTTCCTAAACCATTCCCAAGGATAACCCCTGTCTTACACTTATATGACCATACTCCTGATCCATTGTAAGAGCATAGAAGAGTTTTTTCTTTCTTCTATTGGCCTATACAAATCGACATTTGAGTCCAATCCCTGCCCCTCTCCTCCATTTTACATCCCCGCTTCCTTCGCCTCCCACCTCGCCCCCTCCATTATCACCGCCACACTTCTCCACCACCACCTCCTCAACCTCCTCCATTTCTGGTTTCTCTCCATTTCTTAATTCTCTTCTACCTGTATCACTATCATGTAAGGCGTTTCACAACTGCTCCCGGCTCTCCTTCAAGCAGTTGCACAAAACCGCCTTTAATTCCCACCACTTCCCCCCAACCAACTCCTCCTCTACTGACCAACTCTCTCCAGCTTATCCACTTCTCCCCACCTTCAGCACCCCATCTTGCAAACCGCAAAACGGCATGTAAAACCCAAACAGGAGGTATGAGGTCAACAACCTTATTCTCTAGACGCCGATGTCTCGGCAGGCTCAAACCTCTTCCTCCCTCTTCTTGGACCCCAGCCGATTGGATCTTCATCTCCTCGGCATCAACCACTTGTGAAGCAGTAGCCCCACAACTGCCATCACATGAGTGACCCTTTTTAGGTCCCGCATCAGGCGTTCTATCCGTTCATCGCTTGCATCCTCTAATGCCTTGAAAGATTTGGCATAGTCCTCTTCCGCTTCAGCCCCAGTAGCAGTGAGAAAGGGACGGATGACTCCCTACAATAGAAACAAAATCAATCAAATTGAAGCGACATTTTAAAGCAACTGCATATTCAAAAGCTTAGTCCTTTAATTACCCCACCGCTTGAATCTCAACGTCTATTTGCTCGTAATCCGAAGGGTGTACCTCTGGACATGCCACCGCAACATCCTAGGAAATTGCTATTACACATCCAAACTGTTGCTCCCTCCACCCCCCCCCCCCCCCCCCCCCCCCCCCGTTAGCGAAGACAGGAATGGCCTCGTACATCCAAGCCACATTATAAAAAATAGTCTATATCATAATTTAAACATATATGTTACAAAAAATATAACAAAAGCTATTAATATTTACCTGCATTGCACATGGGAAGCCAAACAATTGTACGTGCTTGGTTTATCCTTCCCCTCCCATTGGGACTGCTTTAACGCCATGTCTACTTTTTTTAGGCTATTGATGGTTCGCTCATATGATTTCAGTCCCCATGGATAGAATAAAGAACTTCAAGTTGCTTGCAACAACAACCAATCTTTCTCAACAGCTTTTGTTGAGTCCCAACCAATAAGATCGAATGTAAAAACAAAACCAAGCACACTTTTATCTTCTCTGTATCAGTAAATTCAACTGTTTCTAGCCTATTCTCTAATACCTGTGCTGTAATAGATAATCGCTTAAGCGATACAAATGATCGCTTAAGCGACAGTTCATAACGTACCCTTTCTTCGGCGGCCTGCTTCTTCTCGTCGTCGCCTAAATGCTCGGAAGACTCTTCCTAGCCTGAATTCTCGCCGGACTCCTCCTCCTGCCCTGAATTCTCGTCGGAATCCTCCTCCTGGCCTGAATTCTCACCTGACTCCTCGTCTTCAGAACCATTTGCCGATTCTTCCCTCTATTCTTGTGCCACCGGCATCTCCTTTGCCTGTCGACCACCTTCACTGATCAGATGATCCACTGGAGTAGCCATTGAACTGCTTGCGCCACCGGAATCTAGGATTCGAAGTGGCGTTGGGTTTTCCTCGTCATTGTGAGTGTCAGCCATGGTTTTGGATTGAATTTGGTGAGAAAATTTGTAGTTTGGATCGGAAATGTGGGCTATATCGCCGGAAATCGCATAGATTCCATTTACGGTTCAAGAAATTAATTTTAAGGTTCAAAAAAATTGTGACTTATCGTCGAAAATCGCGACTATATTCCGTTTAGGGTTCAAGAAATTGAGTTTACGATTAAATATGGTGTAAAAATTTGCAGGTTCGATCGGAAATCGCACTGTCTCCCTTTTGTTCAAGAAGTCGCTTTTTGCTCTAATGAATTTCGATTAAGCGAGGTGAATAGTTAGTGGGGCTTGTTTTGAGAAATTTCAAATTTTAAAATTTTTTATTATTTCTTTTTGGCCCACATATGTTTTAATCTTTTCATTTTAACCCATTTTACGTGTTTAATTAATCATAACTATGCCACCTCATCTTCTCTAAATTAAAAAAAAAAAAAAAATGAAACAGTTGCAAGGCCATTTTCTTAAATCGAAGCTTGGGATGGCCAGGCAGCTAAATTTTCTCCTCCGTTCGCATCTTCTTCTCCATTTTTCCACACCACATATAAAACATTACAAAATCCTACTGCTTTACTTCTGAACCCAGAAAAAGAAGGCAGAGAGTTTTTAGAGATTAAAAATAGATGATGAATCTTAAAGATTGGCATGTGTATTATACAATAATGTTGTTGTTGATGAAATTCTGTTTCTATTAAAACCAACAAAGGTTGATTTCTTCAAGAAGAAAGATCCAAAAAGTGCTTCTTTGCTTCTGAAACCAAAATGAAGACCAGGAATTTGGTGTTGCTGATGTTATGTGTTACGGTTATAGCTCCTATTGTTCTTTTTACTGATAGATTCTCTTCCTCTTTCAATGCTTCTTCTTGTATGTTCTCTTCTTCTTCGTCAATTAATTTATTTTCCTATCTCAATTTCATACCTTGTTTCTTCTTCCTCAATTAACATTTTTCTGGGTTTGTTTCGTTTTTGCAGCTAGAAACCAATTTCTTGAAGATCTTTCAGCTTTTGTAACTTTTTTCAACTTTCCTTTTTCATCCTTGTCTTTCAAACAAGATAAGATGTTAAAGTTTCAATCTTTCTTCGTTTTTTCTCTTCAGACCATCGGTGGTGATGCCAGCCATCTAAATCTTCTTCCCCAGGTGCTTGTATGTTCATGGGTTTTTTGTTTAAATAGTTTCTTACTCATAAAGCGTAGATCTTTATATATTATCCCTTCAAAATCTCATTTTTTTTTCTTCCTTGTTGCATATAGGAATCTTCCACAACCCGTAAAGTACCCATTGGAATAGTTTATTCAGGTTGGCTTTTTCATTCTTTCTCATTGTTTGTGTGGTGAATTCAAGAACTTTTGTTGGGAAGTTGTCAATACTTGTATCTTATGGGTTAAATTTGTTGTGTGAGCAGAATCAAGATAGCATAAATTAGCTAGAGTTTTGTCCTCAGTCAATTATAAATTAGCACAAATTTGCTGTATTGCAAACTTTGCTAACTGATTAACATTGGATAAAGGGAACTGAAACAAAGTTAGAGCTACATTTTCCTTTGGCTAAGATGCTAGAGGATAGATATGAGAAAAAGGGAGCTGAAACAAAATTGAAGAATCGAATACTGCCGCAAGATGAGAATGATATGCTGAGTGAGAAAACGCAAGAGGTAGCGAATTTGAATTGTTTATGCTAAACTTATGTGCATTATAAGCCTTTAACTAATATGGCCTCTGCTTAATTGCTTTTATGTGCTTCACTTGATCAGTGAATTTCCTTATATAGAAAGTATATGTATTCTAGTTCTTAAGCTAAGCTGCACAAAAATTATACTTTGTTGAGGTGGCAAAAGGTGTTATTTTTACATTGTGATGAGAGAGTACCTCAATTTGGTGCCTTTTTTTCCTCTTCTTGGGAGCTTTAGCTTCTACTTCAGTTGTATTGGACTCTTCTGTTGCATTCTCTTTACCTTCAATGCATTGGCAGCATGTTGTCATGTGAGGCATTTGATGAGTCTGGATGTAATTATGGTGTTTCAGAGTTGTGAGTCTTAGTCATGTTTACTGAGCCTTCCTTGATTAGATGACATTTTTATGACTTACTATGATTTTATAATCTGTTGTTCAGCATATAATTGATCTGAAGGTGAGACTATGCTGTGAATCTTGCAATAACCAGCTCAAAAAGATATTGAAAGACAAGGGTGAGACATTATGTAACTACTAATTAGCATAGATTTTTGCTTTTTATTATTACTATTGTTATTAGCTAATCTTATCAGCATTAACTGAAATGTTTTTGTTTAATTAGAATAGTTAAAGTTATAGCAAGTTTATTGCTAGTTGCATGATTGACTGAAGATAAATTATTACTATTGTTATATCTAATGCAATGTATAAATTAAAATGTTGTTATTTTTGGATATCTTTTAAAAGTGTTGTGATAGAGGAAATGTTGTATATAGCATTGGAAATGATTCAAGTTGCAGGTCACCTTTATCAGTGCATAAAAATATCATTTCTGTTGTATGCAAGTCACCTTTATCAGTGCATAAAAATATCATTACTATTGTTATATATAATCAGTGTATAAATTAAAATGTTGTTATTTTTGGATATCTTTTAAAAGTGTTGTGATAGAGGAAATGTTGTATATAGCATTGGAAATGATTCAAGTTGCAGGTCACCTTTATCAGTGCATAAAAATATCATTTCTGTTGTATGCTGCGTCATGTGAGCCAACCAAATATCATTACTGTACTTATTTTTTTAATGTTTCAATATATGTGTCCTTGCTCTAACAAACCACAAGAATATCATTACTGATTTTGCTAATGCTTCACTCATTTATGCATTCGTGCTCTTGTAAAACCACACTTGAGCATTACACTTATGTTTCATTTTTTTCAATTGATGAAGTTCCCAGTGTATTGTTTTATCCAATGGTGTGTTTTAAAAACTTGCTCAATGATATCATGACATCTTGGTGCAGCCCAAGTTGAACGATTCATTATTGGAAATGTTTCGAAATGAGTATATTGGAACTGCTCCATACATATCCTGCACGCCTTCTCTTCATCACCATAGACTCTGCCCAAGAGATCAATTTTTGATCCTCTCATCCGATGGCTTATATCAGTATCTGACCAATCAGGAAGTGTTTTCAAATGTTGAGAGTTTTATGGAGAAGTTTCCAAATGGTGATCCTACACAACACCTAATAAAGGAGTTGCTCTTTCATGCAGCTGACAAAGCTGGTAAAATGTTTTTTCTTCTCTGCTTATTTCTTTAAATGCTAATAATCATCCAGTTGTACAAAATGTGGAAAAGTAATTATGAGATTTAACCTCTGAAAGTAAGGGTGTTTCTTCCACAGTAAATAGTATCAAAGCTTTTTCCATGTCAATATTAAGCCATTTGTCAACTATTTCTCAATGTAAACATTCTGACATAATTTTTAGTCATTTTCTTCTGCATTACAATAGGTAATTTCTTGAGCTATCTTCTTAATATTATTAACGTGATGGCTCCAACAAGATTGGTTCCGAGCAATTTATTCATGGTTATCTAACTTATCAATTATGCATTGACTTATTAATTATAATTTATATGTAATTATTTAGTTTTTTGCTTGACTTATTGATTATGCATTGAATTGATGGTAGGAAAAAATAATACAGTTGTAACATGAAACACAAGCAGGGGAAAGTGAAAAAACAAAAGCAGAAATATGTGAGGAAGTTCTGGGTAAAGCTTCTGGATATAACCAAAATTTTGCATTTTCACATACTCAACATCATGATATTGCAGTAGAAGCAGAGTTAAGGTGCATAGTGCAACAAAAAAAAAAAAACAAAAAAAAAAAAGATTAAACAATTGGAGGAGAAGCTTATCTTATTTGATCAACAAAAAGAGAAAATAAAAAGTCTTGAACAACAATAATTTGTCCTGTTGGAGATGATGAAGCAGCTAACTATAGCCCTTGAACTACAACAATATGATAAAGCTCCAACTCAACAGCCATTGCCATCTCCAACTGATGAAGACTCGTCCTCATCAGATACAACTATTTCAAAAACCTCAACTGATGACACTTGAGATGCTAACAATATTGGTGGTTAGTTTTTTGTTGTATGGGCAGTAGATATTTTGACATGGGACTAGGACCATCTTTTTAGGATTGTTTGCATATATCTGTTAGATGGTGTACATGGGGTGGGCATTTAGCAAGTGGGTGCATGCTTTTTTTTTTTTTTTTTTTTTTTTTTTGTTATGCACACATGATTGTGAATTTTGGATTTTTATTGCTCATCATGCATAAAAATCCATGTATGGACTATATATATATATGTGTATGAAAATATGATATTTGATGTTAGTGATCAAATTTTTATATTGTGTCAATTATTTTGTTGATGTTGAATGTATAAACTAGGTCAATACGAAATGCTTTTGTCACTAATTATTTTCTAAAAAAAAACACATTCTGCAACTAATTTTTTAGTAGCAAATAGTCACGAAAACCTTTTGGATTTCACTTTCAGCGTCTAAAATTATTAGAATTAACCACTAAATTTTGGTCACCAAAAGATACTTTCGTCCATTAATAAAATAGTTGCAAAAACCTTTTACAAAATTACCCTACACCTTCAGCGACTAATTTTTATGGCATTCGTGACAAATTGTTAGACACTAAAAGGTACATTTTGCAACTAATTGATTAGTTGCGATACCATTTTACCAAATGACCCTTGAACAATTAGCGTCTAAGCGGGGGGACTATTTTAACCAGCAATTAGCGACTAATTTGCTAGTCGCTAAAAAAAAAAACTTTCCGCGACTAACCAAAAATTTAGACGCCCATACTTTCTACAACGGCGATTTTGCAACTACGTGGCGACTACGAAATTTAGACGTGAATGAGATTTAGCGTCTAAATTTTACTTTCTGCGTCTAATTTTGCTAGATACCGAAAGATATTTTTCTTGTAGTGCATCGAAATCCAACCTTCTACCACTAAAAGAATAATATGTCTCCTCTCTTTAAACGCCCTAATAGTCTGGACCGTGTTTGCTCTCTGTTCACTACCTAAATATAAATATAGGTAGTAAAATAGTATTTTAAATGTTTATGAGTGGAAAAGTATCATTAAGCCTTTATTTGGTGGGAAACAGTCGTTAACTCAGAAGGAATTAAAAGCAAAAATGGATTTATATTTTATCATACTACTAAATATAAGTTCTGAAACTATATTATAGATATGAATTCAAATTAATCCCAGTTGTTTTTTTTTTTTTTCTGAATAAACAAATTATATATTATGTATATTTCTTTATTCAAGAAATCTAATCTAATATTTAATTAAATTTCTGGATTCTTCTTCTCTCAATGCAAGGACAAATTATTTGAAAATTAATATTGCAGACCTAAGTACTTGGACTGTCCATCTCATAATCTATAATACACTAATATAAGACTCTATTATAATATCATATTAGATGTAATCTAATAGCAAAACAACATTATTTTGTCAAGCAATTGAGAATGATTATTGACTAATAAACAAAATGAATAATATAATAAGATTTATATCAAGTTTATATATATTCATAAGTTAATGTGACATGAATAGAAAATCCAATAATTTTGATAAGATATGAAGAATATAATTTAATATTTGTACTGTCTTAATATGGGCATTGGAAATTTATATGTTATTCCTTGTATTAACCCATTTTATTTCATGATATTATTTTTGATGAAATCTTACTTATCAAAATGAACGAAATAGAGACAGCAGCGAAAACAAAACAACAATAAAGCAAATCACAGATAATAAACACAAAGAAAATAACATGCGCGATTTACCCTAGTTTATCCAATGTGGGCTGTGTCCAGCCGAGTCAATATTATTACAATATCTTCTCACCCCTCTCTCTCTCTCTCGTTTACAATGAATGAATTGTCTTACGATTTGCTATCCCTCTCATAACAAGAGAAAAATATGTTTATATACTAGGTTTAAGCGAATAAACTTAGTTTACAAGGATTCTTATTCCTAAGCCCAACCCAAGAAGAATTTAATAACTTAAAGAAGTCCTACAGCAGTTATACAAGGAAAAGGCCCAAACAGCCTACGGGCCTCCACCCGCTGACCGGTCAGCGGGACCCTCGAATGCGTCTACGTAACCCAATAATGCTGAAGTAGTCGACAACTCTAACACAAAATACATAGATATAACTTTTTTTATAGCTGAAATACTCCTCATTTGAGCAATACCCCACCAATATATGAGCTGCAAAATGGATGAGAATAACATTTGTATATCTTACATGACAAATACATCGATAAATAATATTATTTTATGGTATAGATAAACATATGTAACGTCGATAACTAACTCAAAAATAAATGTTATATTCATGTTATAGACAAGATATGTTCATTATGCTAAAAAAATTTCGAGCGAAAATAAGCTTCGTGCCGAAACATTTGCCAACTAACTACCATTAGGTACAAATCCAATATGGAACAAATTGAGAATGAAAATGTATCAGGAAATTTTCATTTCTGGTAGAAAATGATGTTGAAAACACAGCCAAACACACACAATTAAAGAAAAAAACATAAAAGTAAAAATAACACACAATTTATCTTAGTTCATTCCAATTAAAGAGTATCAAAACTCTATAGCAATTACAAGAAATAATGACAGCAACTCTTTCTCACTTTCTATTCTTTCACACACTAGGTTTCTCACTATTATAGAAAATGTATAATAGAAAACCTAATTCCATTTGGGCTTTATCCGAATCTAACCCAATCTAGACCTAAATATTAGTAAATTCAGGAGTCACCGTAAACAAATAGTCCGTAAAAGTCACCAAAAGTATATACCTTATCCAACAAACGAAGGGGATAGTCTTGAAGCCTTAAATTTACGCGGCATATATAAAAGCGACAATTTTCTAGTTTATATCAAGAAGTAATAAACACAGGTTGCTGGCAGCCTGGCACGCTTCTGGATTGATGATGAAGATCGAATTAGTCCACCAGACACATAGACTTTGGTCTTTGCATGTCGAAAATGTGTGAATTAAATTTCGTGTCAAAATTGCTCTTCATCTCCTGAGTGTGATTCCAGTCACATGTTTGACCTAAAAATTGTTTTCCCATTCAGAATGTGTTGCACCACCCACGTACTAAAACGATGAATCTTTAGATTAGCTTGGTGTCACCACCTCAATATGTTTATCTGTATCTTGTAACTATCTGGGTTTATACATGAAAAAGTTTATATCTGAGTTTATTCTGTTTTTAAAAGAAATCAACCGATTCAACTTGATATTTAATTCTTGATACCATATAGATTATGAACTGCGACTTAAATTTTTGAATTTTGTCACTTTCGTATCAACGGTAGATTTTATCACCTACCCAATACATTCAAAACTGAAAGAACGTTAATAGATGAATAACTTAAAAGAACAAATTTCGAAGGAAATGATGTCGGCTTTTAAGAAAAAATATAATAATTAGTCAGAAAATCGGAATTAAAACTGAGTCACGGGTGCCTTGACAATGAGGACCAGATTGATGATAATTTCTTTGTGATGGAAAATAAGTAAGAGAAATTGTGCGCTCGGTCTTCAATTCATGTATCAGTATACTCCATTGCTGAGTTTTGCTGCTACTTGACGACCAGTTATAGAACCAGCTAGCTCTAGTAGCCATCGAACCATCTCGGTTTTGCTTTCTATCAACAAACAAGAAAAAAAAAAAAAAAAATGGAAAATTTAGCCACAACTTTATAATATCAAAACGGTTGATTACATTAAGAAATTGATTAGAATTTGTTGATGCTGGATTTTGACACCAACGACTCGCATGTGCAAAGTGCTAAGCGGACTTAGAAATCATACGTGATATGAAAATATGCAGTGATCAAACAAATAAGAAAGGTTTTTAAAAGTGGTTAGAATGCTCAAAAGCGAATTTTACGTCCACTATGGTTGTATTAATAGATGGTTATAGTCAGATTACGTGTAGCGAGCTGAATTACGATCTAGAGAGAGTGTAGAGAGAGAGAATGTATGCTTTTAAAACTAAAGATTAGCCAATCCCGTAAATGAGAGAGAAGCCCTCTATTTATAGTTGGAGGATTCAAGGTAGTAATCATGAGTCCCCAGTCTGGTAGGTGGGGTATAGTTCCTAACCTGCTTCCCATTGGTTGTCTACACGAGAGACATCTTTAAATCGCGTAGGGCTTGGGCAAGTAGACAATTCCTACCCACTCACAAGCCTAGCATTCACCTGCCGCACTGATGGTAGCTATACTTCTTTCATCCTTAGCAATGTAGTAGCGTCTAGACAACACAAAACCTCTCTGAACTCTGATTGGCTCTTGCTGATAAGAGTCCACGTCAGCCTTGACTTTTTAGACATAATAGAAGCCCCTCGGGTTGTAAGGTTTAAGGATTGAACCTTGAGAACTTCATGATTATGCCGCGACTTGACTTATCCCGAATGACGCTTGATCAAGTTGATCGAGCTGTAAGGAGGTCGTAACATATGTCTATAAGAATAACACAAACGACTTGAGACGGCCTTCTCCCATAGGTTCAACGACTTGGGTTAGACCTACTCAGTGCCATACCGACAACATTGATGGGATTGGACCAGAAAATATTTAGTTTTCCAGGCTCGCATTAACCCTCAAAAACTAAGGGCAGATGTTTTGTGGTAAAAATCCCCAGCCTGGGCTTGTTAGAGAAGCCCAAACCACATCTCTTCACAGACTGAGCATCAGGCTCAAGAGCAGAAATGCTCGAAAAAATACATGAGCAATTAACCTACGTATGCAGGCATGAGATGTGACGAGATCAAAAAAAGGGGCTCGCCTATGGAAATATCTCCTCGCTCGAACATATCATCTTACCACGTATAAGTTACATGCCCTGATCAGTGGCACGTGATAATACAAACTCCATGTGCTTGCCATGTAGCCTATCCAAGGGGAGTCTTGTAAGGACACCTACTGTCAGAGGAAACACCATCATGAGCTATGGCGTAAGGGCATGTGAGCTTTCGATTGTCGTGCGACATTGGACAATATGGTTGATGCACTCGTGATCATAACATGACTGAAGCCCTTTTTCTCTTTAAAAAGACAGCAATGGCCAA